TTGATGATCAATAGTGCAACATTCGCATACATACATGCATTACAATGAAGCAAATACTCACATACATTACATAAACATGAAATCAAACCATCACCTACCTCGAAACTAAGCTTGAATCCTCCTAAGACACTTGAGTCTTCCCTTTCCACATTGTTTCCGCTTGTTCTAGGTCTACAAACGATTAATACAACGCAAGGATCTATAATTAAGGTATTATTTACTCGGATTATAACAAATCCAATAACCCAAGATCCAACTCATGATCCTAAGGTGGAGCTAGGTGTTTTTCCCACCATCAAATTCAGTTCAAAACCCTCCCCGAACAATATATGATCAAGATTCTAAGTTCTACGGATCGAAAAATGGATTAGGAGAGTAAAATCCTTACCTTTTGCACCAAAAGTAGTGGAAAATTGTCAAGAAATCACCTAGGGTCGTCTCCTAGCTCTCAAGAACGAAAATTGCAGAATAATGACATTTTTGGAGTTTATTTCCGACTTAAGTCGCGACTGGCCCGTTATGGCAACCCCCATCCCACAATAGAGGCCCTGCTCTAGTGGCTCTCAAGGAAACAGAGGGTCAAATTTAGATTTCCAAGCCCCCATTTCACAACACACCTTCAACCCATGACACTCAGAAACTATCCGTTCACACTAAAATCAGTTTTGGGAGTTCTACTCCCCCGAATTTGATTTTGTAAAGTCATACAGTTTCTTTAATGTCTTGGTTGTGCACTCATGTGATCAAATTCATTATTAGATCTCTCATTTGTTACCAGAGTTCCCTAGACCTCACCGACTCTAATTTCGTCCAAATCTGGACTAGGCTAGGAATTCTTAAGTTAATACAAAATATTTTCTGACCCAAAAATTTTCCCCGATAGCTTTTCTATAACGATGGGAAAAGGTCGTTACAATAGATATTAATTTACCCATCACTTTTCCCAAGTGACAACTAGGAAAAAAAGGCTAAAGTAAGAGTGGAGTAGTACCTGAATCGTCGAACAACTGGGGATACATGTGTAGCATGTCCTTCTCGATTTCCCAAGTAGCTTCCTCAACTAGACGATGCTTTCATTGAACTTTCACGGACTTAATATCCTTGGTTCTCAGCTTCAGGACATCACGATCAAGAATTGCAATTGGTTCCTCCTCATACTGAAGGTATTTGTCTAACAACACTGAGTCCTACTTTATAATGTAATCCCCGTCCCCATGATACTTCTTCAACATGGATACATGAAACACTAGATGAACTCCAGATAAGATCGGTGGTAACGCCAATCTATAAGACACTGGCCCTACACAGTCAAGAACCTCAAATGGACCAATGTATCGAGGACTAAGCTTGCCCTTCTTGCCAAATATCATCACCCCTTTCATGGGTGATACTTTTAGAAGAACATTATCACCAGTCTGAAATGCCATGTCTCTTACCTTATGGTCCGCATACTTTTTCTGTCTACGCTGGGCTGCTAAAAGCTTAGCTTGGATGCTTCTTACCTTATCCTGAGCATCCTTCACTAAATCAACCCCCAAAGGTTTCACATCTCCAACCTCAAACCATCCTACAGGTGATCTACATCCCCTCCCATAGAGTGCCTCGAACGGTGCCATATCAATGCTGGAGTGGTAACTATTATTATAAGACAACTCACACAACGATAGGAATTTATCCCAATGCCCTCCAAAGTCAATCACACATGCCCTCAACATGTCTTCTAACACTTGAATAGTCCTCTCCGACTGCCCGTCCGTCTGTG